TACAACAACAACAGAACACCTTTTGCCTTTTTTTTTCTCTCTTTGTCTGTCTCTCTCGTTCACATTTGCAGTAGTTGACCATAGGTCAATCAGAGACAAAGAGATAGAACAACATACTACAACAATTATTTTGTGAGCAAAAAAATAGACAATACAATGGTTGGTTATATGATAAAGAAAAATAAATCGACGGTAAGAATAGGATAAAAAATTTTCTTTCGTTTTTATTTTCTCTTCTTTCATTCGTGCTTTTAATAGAAAAGAGACATATGACACTTGTCCCATTGGGTGACAAGATCGGCTAATGAGATTTCTATGCGACAGAATGACATATCGATTTAGATATATAAATATATCTACATAAGGAGAGAAAAAAAAAGCGATGGACAAGGTGATAAATCAAAATACCACCTTGTCATAAGGACGACATCGTTGAAAATGGATTGTCGACATACTACTAATGCATACAGAATGAAAAGTGACATTGATCGGAAGTTTTTATGGAAGAACGACGACGCCGACGACGACGAACGACAAGCAAGAGCAGCTTTTCTTCTCTCGTCGCTAACACTATATATGAAGAGAAGCCCATCATGGCAATTTGTCATTTTTGACGTGCTTATCAATAAATTCATTTTTACGCCGAACAAGCACGTACATAGGCACATAAGACATAGACACAAAAAAAAGGAAAAGAGGGAAAGAGAAGGCAAAAAAAAAGAAATCATGGTCCAAAAAGAAAAGAACATGGTTGAGGGTCAGAACAAACTATTGAGCGTATACACAGTGCATACAAGTGCGAGAATAAGAAGAAGACGAGCACCCTGTATAACTGTCTGTCTCATTAGAACCCTAGTGTCATCCGTGACCACCCGATGGTTTCTCTTTCTTTCTCTTTCTCACTGGTAGTTCATTATTTTCTCTCGTGTTGTTGTTCTAATCGCCGACACATGTTTTCGCATGTCGATGCTATAGACATGCATACATACACAGATGAGGTCGTTATGATCAATCACCATGGACACATTCTAATTTTTACAAACGATGACATTGTTCTCTTATATGTGTGATGGGACAGACACCTGTGTGTATGTATGTATGTATGTATGTATGCATCTGAAATATTTTCATCTGTCTGTTTTCGATTAAGAAAAAGAGAATACAAAAAAGAAAAGTTGAATGACGAATGAGGCACAAGTGTAGCTTATCCTTCGGCCGATAAGACCTGCTGTGTCTTCCTTTTTTTTCTTCTTTTGTTGTTGTTGCCTTTTACAACAATCAGTTTGCTTGTTTTAAATGACATCATTTGCTTTTTTTTGTCTCTTGCTAATTCGAAGTTAATGTTTTTGCTCATCAAACGAAAAATTGTATCTGTTCGATCGTGTGTGTGTAGTGTGTGCATCCATCTCAAATTTCTATCAAAAAAAAGAAGCCCCTGATGTGATGAAAAGCACAATGTGTGTGTTTATGTCATCACCAGAAGCATCAGCAGCCGTACGAAAATTCCACTGATAAGCACGATGCTTGTATGCGCGAAAAAAAAGAAGAGGACGAAACAAAAACGATCGAAGACGCGAGAGAAAGAGAGAGTGCGAGAGAGAGAGAGTCATAAAAGAAGTAGAAGAAAAAAAATGTGAGTGTCGAATATGTGCGCGACCAATCGAAATTGCTCAATGCTGCATTGTCATTCGTCGCCTTAATCGAAATAACACTCAAGAAAAAAAAAAGAGCGAGAGAGAAGAAGAAAAAAAAAGTTTGTCGTGCGTGCTTGTATGTTTGTGACTGTCACATTGGTTCGTCGCACGCACATATATTGAAAGAATGAAGGTAGTAGTAATAAAAAAGGCGTAAGGCAAAAAGTTCGTTTACAAAACAAATTCGAAAATTAATTGTGTTTTTTTTCTTTTTTTTGTTACACTTTAGACTGTATTAAAGTG